AACAGTTTTTTCACAACACTTTTTTATATAAAAAAAATATTTTTCACACAAAAATAGTTTTTACAATACAACAGTTTTTCAAGTCTAAGCCTAATTACTTCAATTAAAATTCTCCTAAAAGTCAAGATCAATTGTTGCGATCCTCGGTAAAGGCACCAAAAACTTGATCCTGATATTTTTTTATATGTAAGGATTTATGAAGTTGACACCACTACTTGAAGATTTTATTCTCAGGCAATGACGCCAAAAACTTGATCCCAAACTTGATCCCAAGCAAAGTAAGATTTCAATTATATTTTTAAATAGTAGGGATTCTACGCAAGTATACATATCGTTATCAAGTAATATAGGGCTTTCTGATTAAGCCCCGAATATCGATCCCATGGAGATCAAGGTTAATCACGATGGCTTTCAAAAGAAGTTCTAGTCTAGAATAACACGCCCTAGCTTGGAAGGTTGATAAATGTTTGGTTTTGATTATATCCTATAATTATCACTACAATAATACTTCTACTCCTAAACTAAACTACTTAGTGAAAATCAGAAAGTGGGGTTTAATTTATTAAAAGTACCCTTCCTCATGCATTGAAATTAGTGACATGTGTAAAAGTAAAACAAGTAGTGAGAGAGATTGTGGCAAATAAGAGCAATTATATTCTTTACCCTCGGTCAAGTGATATAAAAAAACATTGGCTAATTCATAGTTTAAGAATCCTAAAAACTGGTTAGGCATGAGAGATACTAACTCTCACTCTAGAGTCTCCTTGTCCCCTCACTTAAAGGGTAACATCTAGTATTAAGACCTAAAACTAAGAACCAAATTGGGGGCTTTAGCCTGTCACTCTAAAGTCCTCTAATTCTATACCCATCAAATATTATTTCTCTATCTATTTGCACTCAATCATATGTACTACATTCTCATCCATACAATCTCATGTGATTTTACCATAGTTGATCGAGACAACACCATCATGGATCTTATATGTTCTCACAACATATTTTAACATGCAAGTTATTCATGTTTACATGTAAATGAAGAACAAAGTAAAAACATCACAATATATTCTCTCTCTACTCAATTTTATATCCTACACATGCATACTAATTCATTATAAGAGGGAAGAGTAAAGAAAACTGCTCACTACATATCGAGGAACAACAAGAACTTTTCATTGAACAAGACTTTGAAACCATACAAACAAAGTACTAGATTCATATCAAAATAAAATGAAAATACTTATCTTAGATGGAAATCAAACTCTCTTTGTATAGCAAAAGCAATCTCCTTACAATCCTCTTCAAGAACAAAGTGAAAAGAAAAGAAGAAATCTTTCACTCTTTCTCTTTCTCTCTCACCTTATCGCCCCACTTAGGGCTCTCACCCAAGCATTCTTCTCCTCTTCCAATTGATTCAAGAGTCCAAGACTTAGATTTTAAAAATATTTCTAAGCCTTATTTATAATTTCCCAAGAGGCGCTTAAGTGTCTCTTAAAAAGTATCCATATTCAATGAATCTTCCAAATGGTGCCTTCAAAGTCTTCAAAACATCCATATAACCGCCCCAAATCTTTCTAGAACATCCCATTTATGATTTCCAATGAATTCTCCAAGAGAAACACAAAGCACTGCTTCAAAAATTGTTTAAATCCAATGTATTTTCTAAAAGATATGTTGAAAACCGTTTTTGGCGCTTAAGCGCCGATTTTGGGCGCTAAGTGCCATTTTGGGTGCTTAAGCGTCGGGCACATGCACATAAGTGCCCGGTTTAGGCTCACATGGCTCCGGTGTGCCGCGGTTCAACCTGATTTGCTCCATTTTTGTAAATTTATGTTCAATTTATGTTTCTTCTGCTCCAATCACTCCAAATTCTTCAATTTGATGTACCTACAACCAAAAAACTAGAAAACATACCTTTAAAGTGCAGCATAATTATAAAATATAGCATAAAAAATAGTACATTTTTAGGCACATCACCTTCAAAAGACCGAGGGGGTCATACTGTCCGAGAGGAGAAAAGAAGAGAAGAAATTTGATGTCAAGAAGAGGAAAAGAAATAAGTCGGTGGATTAAGTGGGGTCATTTGATCATTTCTTGGTTCTCAAAGAAGAAAAATTATGGAGGATGAAAGATGTAGATCGGGCGGCCCGATATCTATCCGGTGCTTCAACTCCCTGTCGTGGCCTAAGACTAGCTGACTGAACAGAACGCGCCCGAAGTTGCTGGTGTTCAACCATAGCTCGGGGTACAAGAATTCATGGGTCTTCTAGAGCCGCTTGATGAGAACAACGTGTCGATTATGGGGACTTAGTTGGATTGACTCCTTGGTACGAGGAGCTTCAATCTTGTTTCTTAGGTTTTTATTGTCTTCTTTACTTATATTGTCTCTTGGTGTAGTTAACTCGATTTTGGTAGTCCCAGACGTTGATTCGCCTTCAACATGTTTCTATAGGGATCCAACGGTGACCTAAGTGACAGCCGCCCCTATACTGATCGAGGGTGACTTAGTCTTGAGCGAGGATAGTGAGGTTGATCACTTAGATGATCCTATTAACACCCATGAGGAAGCAGCTATTGGATGCCGGGAATCTCCTAGATTGTTGCCTCGATTCCTAGATGAGATTGAGAACTCATTCTCTTAGTTGGTTTGGATTTAACGGAGAAGCAGATGTGTGAGTTGCTAGCTTTTGTGACTAATTGCTACCGCAACTACCAACTACAACCTCTGCGGCCAACTGAAGCTACTACAACTATTGATTCAGACCTATGTGACCAACTATGACCTATATAGCTAAATGCTGTCACAACTTCTAACTACAACTTCTGCGACCAACTACAACCAATATGGTTAACTATTGTTGTAGCTAACGTAGTTAACCGTTATTATATCTTCCAACTACAAATTGTGTAGCTAATTGCTGCTGCAGCTACCAACCACTATTTTTGTTATCAACTATGACCCATGCTAACAACAAACTATAGTCTCCATGGCCAACTAATGCTATTATAGCTACAAACTACAACTTATGCGGCTAACTTTTAATATAGCTTCCAATTATAGCCTCCGCAACCAACAAACACTATTGCAACCACCAAACAAAGTATTTATAAGAAAATATTATCTTTGTAGCAACTAACTATGACTTTTGCAGTCTACTATCATTATTATCTTTAAGAAATATATTTATTGTAGCCCAATTATGATTATTTAAGTTGTACGGCTATTATACATATGTAATTATTAGTACTGTAATTCTACATTCACCAATTTATGAAAAGTGTGGAACTATGAACTTATGATCATATAGTACATCATTTTAAGTAGGCTAGGCCCCATGGATTTTTCCCTTTCCATGGATTTTTCATGTAAAAAAATATTGGTGTCTCATCTTGCTACTTTTCTTTTGTGTGTGTGTGTGTGTGTGTGTGTGTGTTTTCTTTCTTTTTGTTGCTCGAGAGATTTGTAATTTCTCTTTACATGAGAGGCAGGTAGTTTTGGCACGGTGAAGTTGAAGATGTATAATGCGCAATTTGATTGGAGTTTGACATGTTTAAGTTCTTCATCTCAACCAGATTCCTAATGTTTAGGAGTTTTTGATGTTATATATATATATGATGGATAGTTGGAATGATATATATATCTACTAATTTTAAATAATAACAAATAAATATAGATGTATAAGAATGCACAACGAAGGGTGGACGATAAACTTTGTATATGTGCAGAAAAAAGTAACATTGAATGATAAAATTAACATTGAATCATTAGATAAAATTAACTAAACTTAAATTTATGTTTCTTTATTTATGTATGTTATTACTTGTATGCATTATTTCTTTTAAGAATATAAAATTTTAATTAATTTTATCATGTCATTGTGTTATTGAGGTGTACCATCTTCTATACTCGGGTCGTGACAATTCATGTTTAATTCAATATAAAGGGTAGCTTGTATCTAGGGCTTCAATCTTGCATTAATTTATGAATCAATTCAATGAATCATGGTAAATTGCGTCTCTCTCTAGTTTAGAAATCCTAATCCTACTTAAAATTTTGGCCAAGCCAAGACCCCCCACTCATTAAACATGTCATTAGTTCTTTGTTGAATAACAAAATATATATCTTCAATCACTACCCATACAAAAAGGAAGGAAATTTTATACATTCAAGTAGGGACAATTTTTTTAAAAAGTAATATGAAGATAAAAAAGAAGATCAAGGAATAAAGCTATAAAGGAACACAAGATGGAGAAAATTCAAGCAAATAATGGAAAAAGAAAGTCAAGTCAAGAGAGTTCCTCTCGCCCAACAGAGTTACATACATCATTTATGGGTTGAAAACACCACTAAAATGTCAATTACAAAAGTATACGTGTTTTATTATTATTATTGATTTGAAGAATCAAACAAGGACAATAGTGAGTTAAACTATCTACTTTTACAAGCAAATGAAGTTTAGTTAACTAACTAGCCAAGTTCTGGTAAGATCAAACTAACAATCAATGAAGAATTCAACATGATTTTAAAAGAACATTTTATAATGTACCTTGAGTGGATTACTAATATTACATCATAAAGAAAGGTAGATGAAAGTAATGAAATTTATATCCAAATGTACATTCCATATAACATACCTCAAAAATGCATGTAAATGAATACTAATTCTTATATAGTTATATATTAGACATCTAATTTTTTTTATTTACACACATAATACTCAAATCTTTAACATCCCATCAAGAACAACACTTGTACTAACATTTTAAAAGTAAAATACATATTTTTATTCATATGTTTATAACAACAAAGTATTATAAATATAAATATCAAAGTTTAGGTGTCAGACATGTAAATATTTAAGAATTGTGTGCTATTTCTGTAAATTTTCCTTTATTATATTGTATTTTCCGATTAAAATAGGATAAAAATTCCGAAATATTTATCAACATTTGAATCAAACTACGCCCGCCGGCGCCAAAATATTCGCGGCGGGTGGGATCGAAATTAGGCAGCCCGCTCGCCTTTCCGAAATGTATTGCGCCTTGTCTCCCGCATCTGTAATTAAAATCAATTCCTTCCTCTGATCCTTGCCCCCTTAAGTCCACAAAATCCCTCCTTTTCCTCCTCTCTAGGGTTTCTCCGCATCCCATGGCTTCCCAGTCGGTCGTCGAAGAAGCAAGCAAGGAGGGACCTTTGAACGCCTCCTCTACCGATGACCAAGAAGGAGGCCAGGTGACGCCGAAGAAAAGGGGTAGGAAGAGGAGGATGGAGGAAGAAGACGGTGAGGGGGAGGGGGGTAGTAAGAGGAAGGCGTTACCGTTGGATAGGCCTTCGAGGGACAGGAAGTCTGTTGAGAGGTACGCAGCTCTGTCGCCGATTAGGGGTTCTGCGAGCAAGACTCTTTCGATTCAACAGGTGAAGCGACTGATGGGTCCTTTTTGTTTTTTTTTGGAGTTTTAAGTTATATTGGGTTACTGAGGCGTGTTTCTTTATCTCCTGGTGTTTTCAGGGCTCTGGTGAGAAGCTGAAGGACATCCCCAATGGTTAGAGATAGTTTCCCTCTCTCAATTTTCTACGTGCAGTTCTACTATTTGATATGTCTAATTGTATATGTCTTTGAGCTCTTGCATCCATTTTCAATAGCCCAATATGTTGATCAGGTGTATTTTTAGATAGAAATCACTAAATTGTCAAGAAAACAAAAATGCATTTTTTATAACCGGTTTTTACTAAGGAGTCACACTGACATTTAGGCATTTAGATAAGTATTATAATAGTTTCTATGATGATAAATGGCCAAGTTTGCTTTAATTTGCATTCCGTTATAAATTCATGCTCCATGCTTGTTTTTGTGGCATGTTAATGTGAAATGAGCTTCTTTTATAATTCGTTTTATTTGTTTTTGAGGAATTGGATTCATTCATTATTACTCTAATTCTTTTCACTTTGCTAATCCGTTTGATTCATTGGATTTGTTTTAGAAGTTTGTTATCAACATTATGTGTTTGCTATCTAGAAATTGAAAATATTAGATTTTTGGTTGTGCTATCTTTATTTTTGGTAAGGCTATAATACCTGAACTTACAACCAATGAAATTAAATGGAATGATTGGAAAAACTCGGGTTTGTAGCCAAACTTTCATCCCTTTTTTCCCCTACTTAGAGTAGCCTCTAATTGCCACATTTCATTTTATTTTTCACTGCAAATTCTCAATGATTACACATACATTTGTCTCTATCTGTGTGTTTTATAATTTACATTTTCTATGTATTTATTTTCATTATTTATTTCCACCATTTTTCAATATGATTTAGTTATACTTTAATTTAGGACTCTCTTAGATTAGGTTTCTAATTTATCATGAATTCAACTTTTTTTTTTGGGCGAAGATTTGTATTTGAAGAAAATTGACTAGATTATAAGCTTGTTAAGATTTTGATTTGATAAATACATAAATACTTGAAAACAAAAATAAGCAAGTTTACAGAATGACAACTTTTGTACATAACATATTTTTAAAAAATAAACTTATTTATTAATTTTCTGGTTTTTTTTTTATTTCCTGCAGTGGCTTTCAAACTGTTGAAAAGAAAAGCTGATGAGAGTCTTCGAGTTCTTCATAGAATTCTTTTTGGAAGAAAAGCAAATGTAAATATGCTCTCTAAATTAGTCTTCCATTGCCTACACTTCAATGGATTTATGCTTATTTGTTTAATATTTTGAAAACTTGGTAGGCACATTTTCTGAAGAGAAACATCCTCCAATTCTCTGGCTTTGTTTGGTCTCAGAATGAGGTAGTATTAATATATTATTTCATTGTTCTAAGAAAGATTTACTTCGTACCACTCAATTCCAATGTGTTTACATATCTAACACCAAAACTTAAATTTTTATTACACATTCATCGCGCATGAAAGTGTGTATTTCATATTTTAAAAGCAAAATAATGAAATTTTGGTGGAATAAATGTAAAAGGCGAACTTTAGGTGTTAGATTTGTAAGTACATGGGAATTGGGTGATATGAAAGATTAATTTTTTTTAATGCACATTTTTGCACAAGCACGACCAATACATTGTTCATATATGAATTTAATAACAGGAGCCAACTGAAATGAATGTCATTTCTCATCCGTACAATGTTTAGTTTATTTATGTTTCGATCTAATACCACCTTCTACGTGACCGTGTTGCTGTAATTTTTATATTTTACGCTTGTCCTACGTGTCTTGTAAGTTATGAGGGTGAAGTTCTTTCTACCATTGTTATATTGTGTTTGTTTTCTTCATCCTTAAGGGCCATCTATTAATGTATTTAAGTGGGATTTAATGTAAATTGCTCGCCGAAAAAATAAAAGAACCAAAATTTAAATGTTGGATTTAGTAAATTGAGTTTCTCAATTCCTCTTAGTTTTGTCTTAAATCCTAGTATTGATTTGATATAGTAAATCTGGATTTACAGGATTTACTAAAATTGTTACCATATAACCCCTTACTATAAATAGAGAAAAAGGACATCTCATTTTTTTTGTTCTTTGTTTTAGCATTGTCCCCCATATGCACACTGAGTAATTTCTTTTGGAAGATTTACATATATACTGCTCAATTCTTATGAATTTATATGTCTAACACCTAAAAATTAAATTTTACGTAAATACCAACTTTAACTATGTAGGAAAAGGTTTATTATACTCTTTTAAGTTAAAATAATAGTATTTTTATGTGATATGAAAGATTTGAGTGATATAATGTAAATAGCAAAATTTAGGTGTTAGGTGTGTAAATGCATATGAATTGGGTGGTATGTATGTAAATGCACCAAATCGGATGGTATGTTTGTAAATGCACCTTTTTTTTTTCATTTGTGATGTTTTTTGTCTGCATCGATTTAAAATTTTGGATTAATTGCTAAATATTAAATATTTATAGTTAAATATCAAGCATGGTTTTGTCATATAACTTAGTTTTTATTCCCTTAACAAGAAATTTCAAACTTCCATGCTGTTACTGTTTTTAGTTGGTGTAACCACTTGTTATGCCTTTTATCATGCAATTCTTTTACAAACACTGTTTGCCTTGAACTATATTGTTGAATCTGGTTCTGTACTACAATTTCCATATTTATTTTTTATTTTTTTTTCAGGAGAAAGATAAATTAAAAGTTAAGGAAAAACTCAATAAGTGCAACAAAGATAGATTGTTAGAATTGTCTGATCTGCTAGACATTTATACATTAAAGGTCAACACCAAAAAGGTAGGTTGTGAGTGTTGTATATTTGCCTTCCATCATTATATCATTATGGTTGTGTTTGATGATGAAATTGCATTCTATATGTCCCAGGAGGATATTTCTGCAAAAGTAATGGAATTTTTGGAATCTCCGCATGTTACTAGAGAAGTTATACTGTCTGAGAAAGTTAAGGTCTGTGCTTCCACTAATGCTCAAATTTGTGATATTAAACTGAGTTACAATAAATACCACTCATATCTTATTTGTTTACATAGTTACCACATAAAATTCAAATTACATATATGCCAACTTAGTTTGCATGAAAAACTGTTTTTCATTTTCAAAGTTAAAATAGTATTATTGTTGTGCTATGAAATATTTGGGTCGTACAATTGTATTTAAAAAAAAAGTGTGTTAGACATGTAACTACACAATTACATGATATTTTTCAATTTGTTTCTTTCATTCAACTTCAGAAAGGCAAAAAACTCAAACGGGGTGTCAAAATAACTCGCAAAAGAGCTTCTGAAGAGGCATCGGCAGATAAAGAAGAAAAGGTTTTTGATTTGTTCCTATTATCTAGTTTTAAAAAAGCACATGTGAATTATCTGCTCATATAATATTGTTTTATAAGTTATTTACTTTTTATTTTGACGTCCATTCTTATATTTCATTAGTAATATTTGCACGCGTAGTGGTTTCATCTAATTTAAAGTTCATGATATGTTTTTTGAGAAATTAATGACATTTTCTAGGAATTTAATAATTTGTATTTTTTTTAATTTGGTAAATTTACTGTTATGCCTTCTTAGTTGTCAGGAGATTTGAGAAAAAATATTTTAATAATAAATTAATATCATTATTAGGTATGAACTTCTAAATCACAACTAAAATAATTATCAACCATGCAATTGTAAATAATTTTCAATATTGATATTGTGTTAAAAATCTAAAATATTTAATTTGAAGAGCATATTTTGTGAAAATTGGGTTACCAAAATCATACAAGATTATAGAACTATTTGGCTACTTGAGAATCATGATTAGAATAAAGGGACATTTACATGTATAGCACAAAATTCTTATGTGTTTACATACCTCACACCTAAACTTTTTATATTAGAGAAAGAAAAGGCAACAAAGGAAACCAAGTAAGGATAACATTGAAGATAAAGTTAAAGTTAACTCAACCGACAAAGATGATGAATCTGTGGACGAAGATGAAAGTTCTGATGCTGATGAAACCGATGAAAATTCTAAGAGCGAGGCAGAAGACGAGAAAGATGAACAAAAGTCTGAATTCACCCAAAAATCCTCGAATGAGGGGATGCATGAGGTAGAGGGGCTCGAATCCAAACAACATTCCCCCGCAACGACAAAAAAATCTCCTGCAACATCTAAGAAAGCTCCAGCATCTTCCAAAAAGAAAGTCAATAAGGAAATTAACTCTAAGGATCGCAAAATAAGTTCAAATATGAGCAAAACATCTAAGAAAAGCCTCTCATCTTCTAAAGAGAAGGTTCATACAAAAGGTGAATCTAAGGACATTAATGGGAGTTCAAAGATGAAGAAGGAGAAAGTGCCAATAAAAACTGATTTAAATGATGATTCAAAGAGAAAGGCTTCAACAAAGGGTGATATATCTGAAAAAGCTGACAAAAATAAAGGAAAGACTGATGCTGGAACTACCTCCAAAGACATGAAAGGAATCCAGATAAAAGGTGCAAAGATGGAGACAAATTCAGAGGAGAAGCAAGGTATACTTTGTTTTGAATTCTTTTTATTAGTTTTATAGCTTTGTTTTTGTTGTTATCTAGAACATATTTTGCCTGCCATGTAATCATTTTTTCAACATTTTTTTCTAGGAAGATTTATATACATACCACTCAAGTTTTATGTATTTACATATATAACACCTTTACTTCAATTTTTACATATATGTCACCATGCTTATGCATGAAAAGGTGTATTTCACCTTTTAAAAGTTGAAATAGTTGTATTTTTGAACTTATATGAAAGTTCTGGGTGATAGAAAAAAAAAAAAAGAATAGTTTGTATTAGATATGTAAATACATAGGAGTTGGGTGGTATGTGATCACATGATTTTTTTTTTCCTTTTAAATTTTGCAAAAAAAGTTTACAAAACTAACTTCACAAACTTTGGCCTGATGAGATATCAGAGAAGAAAAAGGAAGGCTCTGTTGCACCCAGCAGAGAACAGTTATCTGCTGTGCTTAGTGAGATACTTAAAGAAGTAGACTTCAATGTTGTGAGTATTAGCTTTTTATAACATTGAAAATTTCTGCTTTATTTTTATTATTATTAGTTGGCTCACCATTCATGGCTCACTAATAAATGTTTATCATGCAGGCTACCCTGGCTGATATTATCAAGCAATTAGGTATTTTTTATATATTATATTTATTTATTTTTGTTGCTGCTGTATTTGTTTAGCTAAACTATTGAGAAAACATGTGAGATAAGCTAATAGGCCAATTATCAAGCAATTAGGTATTTTTTATATATTATATATATATATTTATTTATTTAATTTTGTTGCTGCTGTATTTGTTTAGCTCAACTCTTGAGAAAACATGTGAGCTGGGCTCGATAAGCTAATAGGCTGAATTAGAGTTAGTTTTTACTTGATTTGTTAGTTTGTGAGGTATATTGTTTAAAAAAAATATAAGTAAGAAATGTGAATCAAATAGATTAGAATTATGAAGCTTAGTATTATTTATTAAAATACTCTAAAACAAGTAAGAAATGTGCATCCCAATCAATTCTTATATATTTACATATCCAACTCCTAAATTTTAATTTTTGCATGACTTACTAGTGCATAAATATGTGTTTTTCACCTTTTAAAAGTTAAAGTAGTGATCTTTTGGATGTGATATGAAAGATTTTGGTTTTATGAATGTAAAATAGCATAGTTTAGGTGTTAAATATGTAAATACATAAGAATTGGGTCATATTTATGTAAATGCCCCATATATATTTGTAAATACATAAGAATTGGGTCGTATGTATGTAAATTCCCCATATATATTCTATTCTATTTTTACTTATCAAATAAATTTTTATTATTTTATTCTCTAGTAGCTCCATTTTTATATTAATCTCAAATTTGGTTAGATTAATCAAGTTTAAACTTACCTACACTCATTTGCATCTCTATTTTTCATTAAAGCTTCATGAAATCATGCACTACATAGGAAGTTGTTAGATATCTAAATACATAGGAAGTTGGTGGTATATTTGTAAAAGCCCCCAGAAATCTAATTGAATTTGGAACTTTCTAACATACTGCATTGTGCTGATTTACAGGTGCTCACTTTGATACTGATTTGATGGATAGAAAGACAGAGATTAAAAGCATATTGGAGGAGGTGATTAATAATATGACTGATGATGAGGATGCTGATGCTGATGCTAATGCTAATGGTGACGAGGAAGGAGAGAAGAACTGAACTGAAATGGACTTTTCTGTAAAATTTAATTGATTAGGGTGCTCTGCTGAATTTTTCTTTGATAGCATATAACATTTTATAGGTTTTTTTTTTTCTTAAAAATATAATCTGTTAATTGTGGTTAGAGGTGTTTTGTGAAGGCTAATATTAAGTTTTTTTTTTTTTTAATATATATTTATTTTGTTTTAGGGGCATTTACATATATACCACCCAATTCTAATGTTTACATACAAATGACATTTAAAATTTGCTTTTTTATGTATATAACAGTCAAATCATTCATATCACATAAAAATACTATCATTTTAATTTTTAATAAGTGTAATATATTAATTTAGTTAAAAGAATAAATTATATATATATTTTTTATAAAATTGGTGAAGTATAAATATTTCTTTTAATTCAAGCTTAATTTAAAAATAAGAAAATAGTTTAATTGTTTTCTTTAAATTTATATTTCCTTGGATTTTTCTGATATTTATTTTCTGGTTATGAGCTTCTCAAATCTCAAGCCTATTTTTAGAAATTAATCCCTCTAATTCTGACTTATTAGTTAGAATGTAATTTTGTAATTTATAAGTGCATGATAAAATTTCTTATTTATTTTATTTAATGGAGGAAAACAAATTGGTGGTTTAGGATTCAAGAATGTATATTTTATTTTTTAAAAAATAAATTATAATTGTGATGTTTTTAATGTGATGTTATAGATTTGAGTGGTATATATGTAAATATGAAAGTTTACGGTGCGTTTAGGGTGGCTGTTGCTTTTTCTAAGAAAAGCTTCTTGGAGAAGTAGCTTCGTAGATGTGTCAGTAAGTTGTTGCTCGAAAGCATGAGTCTATCTGAATAATTTGTTCTACTGCAGCTGTTTTGAATAAGAAAGATTATTTTGCTATTATATATGTAATTTTTTATTGTAGAATAACAAAAACATTTATAATAATGTAAAAAACATGAGAGTAGTTCAAAATTATTGAATACATAAAATGTTGGTAGTCATTTAATGCGTATATACCCAATGATAATGACTATCAAAACAACCAACAAGACTATAATGACGATCGTCTTTGAGTCTAGAGAGACAGAGAGAAGGGATTCGAGCACTTAAATTGTTGCTTAGAAGGAAAAAAAATCTTAATTTTTGTGTTTGTTTTTACGAATATAAACATCTTCGTATATGAAATATTTCCTAGGATGTGTAGGATTAAATAAAAGTTCTTATTTATTATTTTATTAATATCAACAATGTATACATACATATCACAAGCCGCTCCAGCTTCATCCAAAGAACAACTCACACAAGAAAACCTGTGGAACGACCACAGAAAAATACAACTCATGCAACAAGTCAAAAAATAGACGAAACCACTAATAAAAGGTATGTTAGTCCCATCCCCATGTATAAGAACAAGAAGTTTATCAGGCAAAGCATTAGAAACAAAAAATTTCAGTAGAGCAACCCCATTTAGCTACCTTCTTCATGAATATATGACCAAAAAATCTGTAAAACCAAACTCAAAGCAAAAATTTTCTTCATTTCCAGAAGAATGTCCATGAATAATCGGCCTTCAATGAGCAAATTTTCCACATAAATAAACAGTCCTTTTCCACTTGTATACGATTCCATCCACAACCTTCAGCCACTAATAAAGCTTTCACTATAATATCAACTTATGCAACAATAGGAGAAATAGGGAGCGAAGGAGCCGCAAACCAAGCCTAACAGTTGCCAAAATTATATCTACAAACACCACTGATACCAGCACAATGAACTTTTTTAATTACCATCCTCTTAATAGCACCTCTTACTGGCACTTTCCAGCTCGCCAAATTCACCACAAGCCTTAACTTCAAAAGAGCATGTAGATTTAACTTCACAAAAACCTTCAATGACTTCCTATTGATAGGTTCTTAACCTTCCCATTTTTAAGTATCTTATAAACAAAATTAATAATCTGCTTGAAGGCACATAACTATCAGCTAGCTATTAAATCCTTATCTTTAAACTCATTCCGGTCATCCAGAGAAACCAGAAAACTATAAAAGGAATACTAACAACAAGAAAAAGAAGCCACCCATCCTTCTCCACTCTTGAATACAAACAACAACAGAGTTACTTATCCTCCCCGCAAGATTCCTGTAAATGAAACCAAAGACAAGATTCCAAAGAGCTTTAGAGAAATTGCACATAATAAAAATTTGATCAATTGATTCCTCTTCCTCCATGCATAACAAACAACAAGAAGAAATTCTCAACCCTTTAAGCTTCAGAATGCCATCAGTAGGATTAATATGATGTAATAACCTACAACTGAAAAAAGATTGAGAAGTTTTAAACAAAAAAATTCAAACTCATTTCAAATCTTATTCCAGAAAATTTTTAAAAGAATTAGCTTTAGTTTTAGAGACGTAAATCTCCCAAAAATTCTTTGATTCTTGTTTTATCATGATTGTCATATAGAACGGAAACATTGACAATAATATAAGTATATATCAAGTTTACATTATTTAACAACATTTCAACATCCCATGAATAATCCTTCTAGCAATCAGCAACAACAAATTAAATATTGAAAGGGCCCCCACAATGATCAGTAAGAGCACCATTATCCAACCAATCATCATACAGAAAACTGTGTTTACCTTCACCAACATCCCAACAAATCAATTCCTCAGTTTCCTTATATACTTTAATAATTTCTTTCCAAGTTATAAAATCTTTAAGATTAGCAGTAACAACAAGGGGATGAATATCAACACAGTAATTAGCATTCATCATCAATTCCCAAAGAGAATTACCAGCTCTACACTATAACCAGAACTTCATAAAATAAACTTTCATAGTATATTTAATACTTAGGAAACCCAAACTACCATCATTAACAGGTTTGCAAAGTTTAAACCAACTCATCCAATGAATCTTATGATCTTTACCAACCCAAAAAGAACGTATTTAAGGTATTCTCCAACCTTTTACAAATATTAGTAGGGTATTTCATAATTTGCATAGTACATAAAGAAATATATTCAAGAATACTTTTCAACAGAGCATTTTTACCCCCAAAGGATAAAAAAGTTTTTTTCCCATGACAAATACGATTATTGATCTTATCAATTAGATTCCAAACTAATGACTTCTTCTATTACCTTTATACTCGAGATAACCCAAATAAGGCTTAGGAAGTTCACCTTTAGCTTAATTAGTGTAATCTTGAATCCAGTTCTTTTTACCTTGAGAAATAGATTTAGCACAATAAAAGTTGCATTTAGAACCATTGAATTTAAGCCCAGAAGCCTCTTGAAAATGATCTAAACAATTTCATAACCATTTATTGGATCTTTTATAAGCATCAGTAAAAACAACATATCATCAGCATAGGCAAGGTGAGAAATTTCATAATTACCTTTGTCAGAAAAATTCATACTATGATAATTGTTGAACATGAAATTTAAACATCTAAAAAGATAATCAAATGTAATAGTGAACATAGTTGGAGATAAAGGGTCTCCCAATTTAATCCTTCTAGTAGCTTTGAAGTGATCACATATGTTCCCATTTAACAAAATGGAATAAAAATTGTTATCCAGAATCCTACTTATAAGACTGTATGAAGCAATATTGAAACCACAAGCTTTCAACACTAAAAACAACACCACCACCAACAACAACAAGCCTTTATTCCACTAAGTGGGGTCGACAACATGAATCCTTTTTCTCCATTGCATCCTACTTAATATAATATTTTCATTTAATTCTAATAAGTTAAGATCATTTTTTATACTTATACAATATTATATCATATGCCCCAAGTCTTTCTAGGTTTACCTTTGCCTTTCTTATCATAAGTCAAATCTATAACATCTACTCTCTTAACTAGATCATCAGATGGTTGATGTTTAATGCGACCAAACCATCTAAGATGACTCTCTCTAATTTTTTCCACCATGAGAGCTACACTAACCCTATCACAAATATATCCATTTCACATTTTGTCTTTAAATGTAAATCCACTCATCCACTTAAACATTCTCATCTCGACAACACTTAACTTAATTTTGTGCTTCTCTTTTAAAGGCCAACATTTTGTGTCATAGAGCATTGCAAATCTCACAGCCATCTTATAAAATTTTCCTTTTACCAAAGCAATACTTTTTACTTATAGGCCTGAAGCATTCCTCTAACTTTTTTATCACACAATAGGCCTGAAGCATTCCTCTGACATCGACCAACTAACTTGAATTCTACTTATAACATCCTCTTCTATATCACCATCACTATGAACAATAGACAAAGATATCTAAAGCGTTCACTTCTACTAATAATGTGACACTCATAGTTACAACTCGGTCACTTTAGCTACTACTACTAAAATTACATCCCATGTATTCGGTTTTAGTTCTACTCAAATAAAGGCCCTTAGACTCTAATGTAGACCTCCATACTTCAAGTTTTCCTTAGCCTTTTCTCTAGTCTTATCCACAAGAAACATCAGCAAAAAAACATACAACAAGGTACATCCTTCTGTAAGCGTTAACTAAAGCAAAAGATATGGGCTTAAAGTCGATCCCTATTTTATTCCAATTGAAATAAGAGAATAATTGGTCAATCCTCCTTCTGTTCTAATACAAGTAATAACTCTAGTAAACATATCTTTAATGACTTGAATATAAGTTATATCAACACTTTTCTTCTCTAGAACTTTCTAAAGGATATTTCTTAGAACCTTATCATAAGATTCTTCTAAATCAATAAAAATCATATGTAAATCCTCTTTATTCCATTTGTAGTTCTCTATCAAACTTCTCAATAAATGTTTAGCTTCCATAGCAGACCTGCCCTGCATAAAACCAAGCTGATTATGAGAAATATTTGTAATATGTCTTAAACTATGCTCAATTACCCTCTCCTATAATTTTAAAGTATGACACATCAACTAAATTCCTTTATAATTTACAAGCTCTTGTGCATCCCCTTTATTCTTAAAAATGGGGACCAAAAGACTCTTCCTCCACTCCTTAGGCACCTTTTTAGTTTTTTAAATAATAGTAATAAGTTTAGTGTGCCAAGAAACTCCCAAATCTCTTAAATAATTTCACACTTCAATTGGATATTATCAGGTTCTACAGATTTTC